ACTGGGAAAGTTGTAGACCTTTCTGTCCTGCTGGGTGACAGTGTAACTCACTCAACAGATCATAAAGAATAGGCTCATCAGTTTACAGATCAGTCAGCTTGGTTTGTATTACTGCTTGCTGTTATTAAGCAATATTTGCTGCACATTTTGAATGCCAGTAAAACCATTAAAACTTTGCTTATGAATGTGGTTGCAGCAACAGAATAGTAATTGGTTTTATAGTTTTGTTCATACAAACACTACTATTGGTTTTCAAAAGAAGTCTCTTATGCTCACCAAGACTGCATTTATTTGCTCAAAAATACAGTGAAATAGTACTATTGTGAAATATTATTACAATTCTAAGTAACTGTTTTTTATTTTAATATGTTTTAAAATGTAATTAATTCCTGAGATGGAAAAGCTGAATTTTCAGCATCATTACTCCAGTATTCAGTGTCACATGATCCTTCACAAATCATTCTAATATGCTGATTTGATTTGCAGTTCAAAAATCATTTCTTATTATTATCCATGTTAAAAACAGTTGTGCTGCTTAATATTTTTGTGGAAACTGTGATACATATATTTTTAAAATTCTTTTATGAATAGAAACGTCAAAATAGTGTTTTTTATAGACTTTTTGTAGCAGTGTAAAAGTCTTTACTGTCACATTTGATCAATGTTATTGCATACTTGCTGAAAAAGCTGTTAATTTCTATCTTTAAAAAAATCTTACGGACCCCAATTTTTTGAATGGTTGTTTTTTGTTTTATTTGTCTATTTCAAGACAAATGTTGCACATAAGTATGTGGATTAATTGTTCCCCATGACAGGTTGTTAGATGAACAAGCGTTTGGCTTTCCTTATATTTTAAATGTTATTTTATGTAATGTCTCTGATCATTTTGTTGTTGTTTCTGGGTTAATTCCTTTTTTTTTTTTTTTTTCATTTCGGCCTCCACAGGCACCCAAGCTTGCAGAGAAGTACTGTGTGTGTCATTTAGCTACTGGGGACATGCTGAGGGCCATGGTGGCATCTGGCTCAGAGCTCGGTCAGCAGCTTAAGGAAACCATGGATGCCGGCAAACTGGTAAAATGATAGATGTTCTAGTTTTTATATATTTTAATATTTGTTCCTCCCCAATGTGTATTTTCGGTTGGAGGGATAAAGTCCTGAATCTTTTGAACGTTTTGTCATCTTTCCTTTAGGTGAGTGATGAGATGGTGGTGGAGCTCATTGAAAACAACCTGGACGCACCTGCATGCAAGAATGGATTCCTGCTGGACGGTTTCCCCCGTACCGTCAAGCAAGCAGAAATGGTGAGGACTTCTGTAAACAACTGACCCTCCATATCTGTCTGTGATACATCTGTAATCTTTAATAATAAAAAGGGTGCAGAATCCTCTGCCGCCCAATTCTGATCACAAGAATGCATCTGTCAACCTGTATCTCTCTCTTTCTCATTTCTAGCTGGACGGCCTTTTGGAGAAGCGTGATGAGAAACTGGACTCTGTTGTTGAATTCTCTGTTGATGACTCTCTGCTAGTGCGCAGGATCTGTGGGAGGTATAAAGATGAAGGGTCCTGTAAATTTAAAGCATTGTGTAGTAGCCCACTACCACTAATGCTTTCTATTAGCTCAGTTTAATTTAATGAATAAGGAATATACTGAAAAGATGTCACTCATTTCTGGAATAAGAGAAGACATGTTTTTCAGGTAGGGCATAGTAGCTGTCAAACACTTTTGTTTCTGTTATCCTTGATGGAGGTGGTGGCAGGAAATTTTTCCTTGAGTGGTTTTGATTGCAGCTTAAAAAGGAAGTGTGCCTCCTTACTTCCTCCTTGCTTTTAATTGTAAAGCATGACAGTGAGACTCTTGTTTAAATTGAACAAACAGTAGTGGACAAAATACACAAATCAAGTACTTGAGTAAAAGCACAATAACCTAATAATGTATTATTTCTTTAAAAGTATAAGTCCTCATTTTCAATTTTACTTGAGTAAAAGTATGAAATTACTTGATTTTTTTTAGGTGAGCCATGTTTATTCATTCTAGCCTGCACTAGACAGATTAGTCAGCACTAATAAGAAAGATTAGTGCAGACATTTATTATTTATTGAGCTGCAAAAAAATGTATACAAAAATACTATACAGTATAAAAACATTACATTTAAATATACTAAAATATCAGTGTGAGTTACACAAATGTATGGAGTGTGCAAACATGTAAAAGGATGCCATATAGTATTTTAAAAAATGTGGAAAAACAAAATTTGTGTAAATATATGGCAATAAATAGTATAAAAATACAGTGTACAGACATCACATGTGGAAAAATGTGTTCACATTTTAAGAGGAACGCTATGCAAATATTTTAGTTTCATACCATTTGAAACTGCTACATCAGCGGGAAGATGCATGGGCATTATTAACATTATTTTCCTTCATTTTCAGCAGCCGTTACTCCAGTCTTCAGTGTCTCGTGATCCTTCAGAAATCATTCTAATATGCTGATTTGCTATTCAAGAAACCTTTCTTATTATTATTGCATTCAAATCCACATTCAAGCATCTGAATAGGCTGTCATAACCTCTATATGATTTTAATTTACAATAAACGATACTAAATTTTGGCCTAAGTAACGCCACTCAGAGCGGGTGGCAATTTCTTCAGTTCAAGAGAATGAGGGACGATATGTTTTTATGAAATGTAGTGGAATAAAAAGTATGGTTTTATGCTAGTTTGAAATGTAGTAAAGTAAAAGTTTCTCAAAATAAAAAGTACAGATACCTGAACATGTACTAAGGTACAGTAACAAAATAAATATACTTTGCTGAACATAATTCATTTCATTCCTCAGGCTCATTCACCAGCCCAGTGGCCGATCTTACCATGAAGAGTTCAACCCTCCCAAAGAGCCAATGAAGGATGATGTGAGAAACAAAAACTGTGTTGTTCTTATTAGCAGGGCAGCTATGAGCATTGTTGTAAAGGTTTGGTTTGATCCATATATCCACAGGTGACTGGGGAGCCTCTTATTCGCCGCAGTGATGACAACGAGACCACTCTGCGCTCTCGACTAGAGTCCTATCACAAGCAGACGGCCCCTCTAGTGCAGTACTACAGTGCCCGCGGCCTCCACACTGCGGTTGATGCTTCTCAGTCCCCCAACCTCGTCTTTGCCTCCATCCTTGCTGCCTTCTCTGCTGCTACCTGTAAAGATCTTGTTTATTTTGTCTGAATCATCTCTACATCCACTCTTTTCTTGTATGCATTATAAACCCTATTTGATTCCCTTCATGTTTTGTGTTTATGTCTTGTGAGTTTGTCTTTAGACATGATTTTGATTCATCTGCTGCCTATTGTACAATGGGTAACGGAACTCTTTTGACAAAAAAAAACCTATGAAATATTAAAGAGCTGAAGAGTGAACCCAAGCTAATTGTAATGCCTCATTGATTAAAATAATATAGAAGTTTTAATACTAATTAATTTGGTTATAAGCATCTATATAATGAAAGCATGTTTTGCTCTAACCAGACGCCTGTAAAAGGTATGGTTATGTCATTTGCACTAATTCACTATTTCCAGAGTGAAATGTGATAATTCTTAAAACTTTCTGGTAGATCTTGTAGTAATGCATGAGATCCAGTAGAGGTCATGTGAATGCTTGGTTTAATTGCTGAATGGAAAAAGCTTTTTTTTATTAATTGCTTTATTAGCTAATATTTATTAATTAATGTCCTGAATTGAGTCATTAATTTACTTGTGCACTTTTTTTTTCTTTTTTTCTGCAGCTGTATGAAATCCAGTTTCTCCCATCCAGGTTGATTCAGATGTGAAAATAATGGATGGGGGAAAGGGGGAGCTGGAAGTGTCTCAGATGTTTATTTTGATCATGCCATGTAGTGAATGTGTTTTGTAATGAACACAGATTTAACTGAAACCCAGTTGATTACCTCCAATAAACATGGGAGACTATTTTCTACTACCTTACATGAAGAGGTCGATTCTTTGTGTTTCTGTATTACTGTCCCAGTGCTGGATTTTACATCCTCTTCTTAATTGGGTGTTACTTTTCAGAAGTTTGTGAGACAAAAATACAATGATAATTGTATTATTGAAAAAAAAAGGGAAGTGATTTCTTAGTGCATCTGCTGAACAGGGTATGACGTGTATTACAGGGTTCCCCTGGTCATAGACAACCTAGACCGATCAGGGAATTTTGAAATTGGTTTTTCCAAATCTAGAAATGTCATGGAAATTTTTATAAACATTTGTTTTCTCAATATGCTCTGATTTAAAATGTTTAATCAATATTGCTAGATAGTGCTTTTAAGCAGGTTATTTTATTTTTTTTTACGTGCGAATTGAATATATATTTTTTTCTCAATAAATCTGTCAACCTGGCTCACATACTGGTTTGAATGATTCAGTGACATGTTCTGAATCAAAAACCATAAATGTTTTAAAAAAATGTTTATACTATAATCACAGACAACTGGAAAAATCAGAGAAAAGCTTTTGGTCAAAAGTGTGGGAACCCTAGAATTAAACCTATTTCAAGAATATACACTTTCTATATATGTTGTTTGTATTAGACTTGTATTAGAAGCTAAGAGTTTTAAATCAGTTCTTCTAAACCATCCAAGAAAATTATTAGGCCTTCCTGTCTAATAGGCTAATAAGTTTCTATGGTTGAAACAATAATAAACTCAAAAGCGAGTTAATGTAAGTTTAACGTTGTACTCTTTGTTTTGTTTTTTTTAGTGTTTCTAGCAATTTAAATAAGAATGCATTAATGTGCATTTAAATCATTTAAAAACATATTGGACCCCAGTCCCACTGTTTTAGATCACCGTATTTAAATTATTTACCGCGTTTGTCGCTGAACTGTAGTAATAATAATACACAAAATGTTTTGAATATACATTCGAAGGACGTGTCTTATTAAACAAAACTTTGTTCCTGGCAATGAGACGCGAGTCCATTTCCGTTTCGAGGTGACGTCAGTGGGCGGGGTTTCCGACTCGGTGACGTAAATGGAAAAGAGAATCAAACTGCGGACATAATCTGAGTGAGCAGTATAGAGTACAGGGCAGGAAAAAAGGGCTGACATCTTCCCCTCGGACTGATTCTCGGGGAATGTAGTAGCGGATCCCTCTAGGTTGAGATTAGTCAGATTTACAGGACAGTTGGTTGAATGTACACGGTGTAACGTTAGCACCGAAGCTCACTGCGTTCCGCCCTATTCTGCTTCACTTGCTTTCAGTAACGTTACTATCAGATCCGTCTGTACGGTAAGTGTCCGACAGATCTGTCGTCATGGTTACGCTTTTGTCTTATGAGCGTCTATGATTTTAAAATACAGTTATGTTGTCAAAGTGTTTTGATATTATTGTGCGATAGTTCACATCCCAGTTGGGTGACAGGCTACTTGGAGTAGCTATATTGTGTACATTGCTGATTTAGTTGTGTTTCATTAGTTACGCTCAAACTAGGCTGGAGACAAGCTAATATTTAACTGTTTAGGACAGTTTAGTGTGTGTGTGTGTGTGTGTGTGTGTGTGTGTGTGTGTGTGTGTGTGTATAGGTTT